GTGCTCTTATTGGATACATTTGTGAATGTGTATGGTAGGTTATGACGTAGTCTTGAATGGGTTCTACACTTTAGTTTAATTGTCATTAAGTAGACAACTCATTCTTGATGTTGATAATCTATGCTTACAATTGTGATTTGTGATGATAATGTGGCTACATCTATAATTATACTAACGATTTCCCCATTAATTGAAAGCAAATGGTTAATTACATGAGCTTAGTGGTGAATCCTAACCCTAAGACTCTTTTCCTATCTCTTTAATTCTTAGTTTAATTTACTTGCATTGTCATTTCCATTTCCATACTTTTAATTGAACTCTAGTTTAATCACTTCACCAAAATCTCTCTCTCTCTCTCTCGTGCACTCTCATTAGCACTAAAATCAAGTTTAATCCCAACAGTGTTTAATCCCTTAAGAACGATCCCTTCTCATTTCATACTTGACGGTATAAGTGTTAAACGGCTTTTATATAAATTAAAAGTATGATGCCCGTTTGATACCATTTCCAAAACCAAAGTGTTGTGTATTATTTTGTGCACACGCTAGGGTCGTATCAGTAGGAATTAATACAATGATTAAAACAATACCAATTTGTTATGTTTTAAAAACAGACGACGAGCTTCCAAACTTGCAAGAATTATTTCAGACAAAATTAAACATACAACAGATAATCAATTTAACATATATTACACATACAAGATTCAATTAACGTCCCATTAAATTCCTAGAGATCATCTAGGTATGCACAGAACACAGGCCAAGGGGAGAGAGACAAAATAGAACTTGCCTGTGTGGTTTTTAAATCAAAACCTCGTCGCCGTCTTCCTAAGTATTTCCAGCGATCGTGACTGTCGTCAAGAACTCCTCTGCTCCGGTTCTAACCCTCGAACAGCCCTTAACTTTCCTCCTTGGTCCAGCCTTTAAGCCACAGCCGAAACCTTAACGGAAATCCCTCTGTTTGCCTCACAATCTCTCTCTGTGTTTTCTCTCTATAACACTGTACGTGCCTAAGGTTTTTCCAACCCTTTTGAAGACGTATAACAGTGTATATATAGGCACCAATAAAACCCTAGGTCCAATTCTAATCAGAGATGGAAAACCTAATTAACTTCTAGTCCAGTCGGCGTAAGACAAAAAAAACGAAAACCCTATTCTAACATTATAATTAAAAACACTAATGATTAAATCTAATTAACTCACTTAAATAAACTACAATTAAAACTAATTTAATTCAATTAAAAAAAATAAAAAATACAATTAAATATCCAATTAAACAAACAATTCAATGTAACAACAATTAGTCAATTAATGCAAATAAACAGGCAAACAAAATAATCAATTAACAACCAATCCATGTAAATAAAACAATTTATCAATTCAAAATAAACACATATCCACATAAGCACATCAAATACAATAACTAAATTCCAATTAAATCATTTTAAAAATTATGGGTATTACATAAATATAATACTCATAATAAGTGTATAATGCTCAATGATTTTATTGGAGGTCTATGCCTCTATTTATAAGAAACAAGGTGGTGGAATTATAGTAGGACTCGCCTGGCTTGTCCTCCAATCCATTCCATATATAACATTCTTTACAATTATAATCCTTTCCTTTATACAATTCTTTCCATGCAAAACTTTCCTTGCATAGAATTTGCTTTCTTTGCTGAATCATTTACCTAGCAGGACTGGTCTATAATTAACTGAGTATGGGTTGTGTGTGGGCTGATCAAATCATTCGGTAGATGAGCTTGGAGTTCAACCTTGGCTTCACTGGCTGTTGACGCTTCCACTGGGCTTGAATGAGATTGTACGTATTTGGGCTTGGTAAATGGGCTGTGTAGCCTTGATCAACCGTCGACATGGAAGCAAGACTTTGCCTGGGCCTGTTCCAAATTGGGTTCTCCCAATTTGGGCTTGATACCTCTCGGGCCTTTGCCGTATCTAATTATAAATTAGTAGTGTGATGATGTGGACGACTCTTACTGGAGGGGGGGATTTTTTCCCTCCACATAAATGGTTGAAGAAAATTCTTGAAGAGCTTAATTTCAATAGACAAGGGCCTACTGCAATTTTTGTGACAACAGCGCAGTAATCAAACTCTCAAAAAATCTTGTTTTGCATGGAAGAAGTAAGCACGTGGATGTGAAGTTTCATTTTTTAAGAGATCTCACAAAGGATGGAACAATTGAGCTCATCTACTGCAGAAGTGAAGATCAGGTTGCAGACATATTCACAAAGCCCCTCAAATTTCCTTCGTTTCTGAAGTTAAGAGACTTGATGGGTGTTTGTATGCTAGATATTTGAGGGAGCTGATTTTTTACCTGTGTATTAAACTGCATGATTGAAAACATCAGTTTAAGGGAGGGTTTGTTACGAATTTGTTAAAGTTACCTTTCAAGTTGTCCTGGTTTTTAGGCATTTTGTTAGTTTATTTTATTGTTGCAGATCATGTGTTAGTGGTCTAGAGTTTGTTGCAATTTTTTAGTCTAGTTTAGTTGATGTATTGCCTATTTAAAGGCCATTAGTTAATTGAATAATATGTGCTCAAAACATATCTTTTATCTACTTTGATACTAAATTGTTTTTTTTGTCTTTGTGCTTATCTAATTAGCCTTCAATTTGTAATATCTCCAAGCTTATTCAGTCACGAAACAACTATACAAGCTTCAAATTTCTATGTCTTCAAGAAAAAAATCGAATCTTTTTTTTTTTTTATGTATTCATCAACTTGTCCTCCACCAACTGGGTTTGTAAAGCTATTTTTATATATTGGTTAGGTGAATCCACGACGATTGCCGCCACCGTTGCAGTCATCACAGCCACCCCCACTGTCGCAGTCATCACCACAATCTCTCTCATATCTTCTTTATCTCTTTCCTCTTCACCTCATCTCTTCAACTATGGCCGCCCCTTCCTTCCCCCCTCTCTCTACTCCCACCATCGCAGCCACAACCACCATCCATCTCATCTCCCTTCTTCATCTCTCCGTTTTTTCTCCTCTCCACCCACCATCACTGCCATAGATACATAAATATATATACACAGTGGTGAACTGTATATATACAGAAAGGCGAGTTCGGGTTTGAGATGGGTTTGAGTTTAATCCAAGGGTATTTAAGTCAATTAAAATGGTAATTTTATTTCAAAGGGTAATAAGGTCAATTCACCATCTTCAGGGTCTCTTTGTCTATTTTTCAAACTTGAAGGTGTGTCATTGTTCAAAAATAGGTGAACTTTCATATGCACCTTACCTTAAACCTCAAGGGGTGACTATGTATTTTACCCTTTTATTTATTTATTTATTTATTTTTATTATTAAAGTGGATACTGGATATAATAGTAAAAATAATGAAAATTCCAAAAACACAAAAGTGACTTGAGTAATAATTAGGGGTGGCAAATTAAGACACGAATAAGAATTAAAAGAGTTTAGGTTTGGCATAAAGGGGTTTGGGTCATAAAAGGGTCGACACGATTAACCCGTTTACTTAATCGTGCCTGGTTAGGGTTGAGAGATTCAATCTGTGTAACCTATTTATGACCCATTTAACTTAACATATTATAATCGTAAATATGACCTATGTAATTTGTTACCCGTTTAAATCCAATTACTATGGATAGTTAAGTCATTTTAACATAAACCTTGTCTATGCCTTACTTTTCTTTTTATTTTGAATATTTGGGTTAATTATGACATTTTTTTCAATTATTTAGTATTTGACTAAATATTAAATGTCTCGTTTTGATAATCAGGTCATTAAACGGGTTAACATGTTTACCTGATTAATAAACAGGTTGGGTTAGTATTGAGAATTATTGACACGATTATTAAATGGGTTTGGTTTGGGTTTACTTATTTAGTATAATATTCTTCCATCGACACGACACAAACATGACTCATGAACACGAATTGCCATGCACCCCTAGTAATAATATTATCACCCTAAACTAAAAATTAAAAATAAAATAAAATTATCATCCTTAATAAATGTTCATTTTTTTATTTTTTACTATATCAAAATAAATATTTAATTTAAAAAATTAAAAAATTATTTTTTATAACATTTAATAATTCTTTCACTATTTATATAATAAAATAAAATAAATTTACCAAATGAGCAGTAATCCATTGCAAACTTGGCCCTCCAATGAAGTGGCCAGGGTCAATGACTCAATGGAAGTATGTAAGATTTTGTTTTACTATCCAAGAAAATACAATAAGAAAATATTATTGTACAACTCATATTCTTAAAAAGATAAATTAAAAACTATTTATTTATTTAAGGATTAGTAGTTTAAAAAAGTAATACTCTTAAAAAGATAAATTAAAAAATATTTATTTATTAGTAGTTTACTTTTCTTTTCTTTTTTTGAAAGTAGTCTGTACTACTTTTTTTTCCTGGTGTGTTGGATGACACGTGGACTATTCATTTATTTGTTAAAATATCTAATTTTTTTACTTATCAAATAATATATCTAATTTTTATGTCAATAATTAACATATAGTTTTAACTTTTAACAAGTCGTATGATAACATAATTGAATTAAATTATCATAAAATTAAATAAAATTCCCATATAATTAACAAAAAATTTAACTTAAGTGAAATAAAACTATTCACTTTCCTACTAATTGAGAAAAGATATAACTAATTTATCAATCATTACATAATAGTGCACTATTTAACAATTTGTTTCTTTCATCTAAAAAAATGATTAAAGTAAATTTAGATCTTAAAATTATCATGTAAGTGAACTAGTCGGAGTATAAATTTCACATTTTCATGATGTATAATATTGTAAAAAATTAATTACATGTAATATACAACTGAGATCGGTAGACTTTGCTAAGATGAACAAGGAATATATGCTTCGCGAAGGAAGCTGAAGCCAGAGGAGTCTGGAAATTTAAAGTACATCCACTTTTCGTTACAGAATAGTCCACGTGTCATCCAACACACTCACCTGACGAGTGCACGTGATGAATCACGAAGTTTCTACATTTCCGGTCACCGTCTTTAATTACCCCTACGCAGTCTGTTCTCGCTAAGCAACGCAAACTTCAAACGAACACTCTTGTTCTCTGTTTCTCTTTCTAAACTCTCCCTGGAAATGAGCCTATTTTCGATTCTCTGAAAACACTTTCTCTCACTAGATTCTGTTTATCTTCTGCGAACAATCAAGAACTCGGAATTGATTCGCTCGGTTATTGTTTCTTGGAAGAAAATGTGGCTACAACCGTACCGGAAATATGACGTGGAATCAGGAAGTCGGCCACTGTACCCGTCGATGTTGGAGAGTCCGGAGCTCCGATGGGCGTTCATTCGCAAGATTTACTCAATCCTGTGCTTCCAACTGCTGCTCACAATTGCCGTCGCCGCCGTCGTCATCAACGTCCATCCAATCGCCAACTTCTTCACCTCTACAGGGGGCGGCTTGTCCATCTACATTTTACTAATCTTGGCTCCGTTCATGTGTACGATATTGCATGAAAATTTAATCTCCAAACAATGTTTTATATAATTTTGTACTTTTCTCTTTTAATTTCTTGATTTGATTTTTTTGTTTGTTTGAATTGTTGCAGTTCTGTTCCCGTTGTATTACTATCACCAGCGACATCCGGTGAACTATATTCTTCTTGGACTGTTCACTGTTTGCCTTGCTTTTGATGTTGGATTGACATGTGCTTTTACCAGCGGTAAGCAGTCTAAATCTCTCTTTCTTCTTGAATTCATGCCTGAATGAATTTTTAAACCCTAATTTTTTTGTATGTAGATTCACATTGACTTGGGCGTTTTTGTTAGTAGAACAAATATTGTTGTCAATAGCGTGTATAGTACAACTAAAACGGTAAAGTTCACCTAAGATTTAGTCTAGAGCACTGAGAATTGGTATCAGTAATGTCTGAAATAGAATGGATATTGTAGATTCATTATAGAGAATTCATACAGCAGCTTAATTTTATCATGTGTGTGAGCAACCGTAAATCTGTTCTGCGCTTAAACTCCATGGCAATCTTGGAAATAAGTTGAGAACTGATGCTATTTTAGAGAAAAAAATGGCAAATCAAATTTAGCAAATTAAAGTCTGATTTGTGCTAATTGATATATGTAGCAGCTGTTAAGAATGTTCGATTAGAGTATTTTAAATCCATTGTATGTCTTTTTCTTTTTTCTTTTTTTTGAAAAATTCAAGAAAATTTAGAAGGCTCAATACAAAGTTGGGACAGCCGAGGTAGGGCCCAAAGAACTACAATATAAATCCAGCCAACAAAAGAAGGTTCAAAAGACGTACTGTTGGTGAAATCCTAACGGCTAATGCGTTTCGTTGCTGTGTGAAATCTGTTTTGTGTTTTATAGATTTTAGACATGAATGAAATTGGGCGTGCGTGTGGCATCCAATCCAATTGAGTTGTAAATTTTGGATTCCTGACCTCCATAGATTATCATAATTTGAATGGAATGCAGGGAAGGTGATTTTGGAATCTGTGATCTTAACCACTGTGGTGATTGTGAGTCTTACTCTCTACACATTTTGGGCTGCAAGACGAGGCCACGATTTTAACTTCCTCGGGCCATTCTTGTTTGGTGCTATTATCGTGCTTATGGTCTATTCCCTGATTCAGGTATGTGCATTTCACTCCTTGTGTTTACGCAATTAATTTGAGAAAATTAAACACTAATGACTTGTTTGTTACTGCTAATCCATCCTCTGGCAGATACTCTTACCTATGGATAGGTTGTCAGTGACGATATATGGATGTCTAGCGTCGATCATCTTCTGCGGGTACATCATATATGATACGGACAACCTCATCAAACGCTACTCCTACGATGAATATATCTGGGCTGCTGTAGCACTCTATCTCGACATCATCAATCTCTTCCTCTCGCTTTTACTTATCTTCAGGGCTGCTGATACTTAGGATTTAAAAAGGAACGTACTCCCTTCTTGTCATTTTGTTACCTGATGATCATGCTAATATGTAAGTAAGTGGAACATGCAGTTTGTTAATCTCATGTGATTTTCTTACTTTGTAAGACGTTTGCCAATATGCAACTACTTCGAACATTTTTTTTTTTTAATCCATCAAAGTGAAACGAGTTTGCACATTTGTACTCCATATTTTTCTGTCTTTTTCTGAGGAGTTAGATTATTATGTTTTGGATTGATGTAACCAGAAGGATAAAGAAAGAAAGGGAAGGATAGTGATAGAAAGAAGGGAAAATTACATATAAATGGATATAAATGGAGTTAAAGTTCCATATTTACTTAGAGGCTGAGTCAAAATTTCATATTTCTCTAAAATGGATTGCTGAGGTGGCACATGATTTTTTACTGTTTAGAAATTGTGATGCCTAAAATACCCTTCCGCGAAGGTACTACTTTTTCTTCGAAGGTACTACTTTTTTGAACTGAAGGTACTACTTTTTGGCGTCCAGGTACTATGTTTTTTAAACACTCGCGAAGGTACTACTTTTTCTCCGAAGGTACTACTTTTTTGAACTGAAGGTATTACTTTTTTGAACGGAAGGTACTACTTTTTTATTAGAGAAGGGCATTTTAGGCACCACAATTTTTTAAACAGTAAAAAACCATGTGCCACCTCAGCAATCCATTTTAGAGAAATATGGAACTTTGACTCAGTTTCTAAGTAAATATAAAACTTTGACTCCATTTATATGTAATTTTCCCTAGAAAGAAAGGGTAGGATGGTTATTTTATAGATGGAATTGGAAGGGCAATTAAAAGCAGCACTAATTGTAAAAGCTGAGAATATTAACTTCATTACTTCTTAGCCGTTGAAAAGCAATTGATATCTCTTGACTGTATAAAAAAATAATTTTTATTTTTTAATATCAACAATAATTTATAATTCAAGAATCTAAGAGTTCTTTTTTTTTATTGATTTGTTTGTGTTCTCTTCTTTTGAGAGTTTTTGTATCGTTCAATAATGAGTTTGTTTGATTTGTAGCTTTGATAATTGTTTTGAGAACTAAAAGTAGAAAAGTGTACAAAATTTTTATGCTTGGTTCAATTTTTTTAAAATTCAGTTATAAAAATGTCATAAAACTGTCCTCAGAAAACAAATTTTATAAGTTTCATAAAACTGAACTAAGCATAGTTTTCTGTTTTTAATTTTCTGAAAATAAAAAATTATTTTCATAATTACAAATTAAATAAATATTTATGCTACATTTGGTGTGCAGGAATGAAATATCCATTTCAACCATTCCTTTGTTTGGTATGCAATTTAAAGTGGGAATGGTCATTCCATTAGAATGAAAATTTATTTCATTCCCAAATAATGTTTTTTAAAAAAATTAAGTTTCCAAAACACCCTCATGCTCTAAGTCCAAAAACCACCACCTTTCACCATAACCACAATCGGCTTTCACCATCACCACCACCTCCATTGCCATCTTCCATCGCCACCATTGTTGCCATCTTCAACCACCACACCGCCGCCACCTCCACTGCCTTTAGCCACCGCCATTGCCACCTCCACCGTGGCCACCACCACTATCGACTTCCACCAATGTCATCGTCTTCCACCGCCACCTCTACTGCTTGCCACCACCACCATTGGCACCGCTTTCACCACCGCCGCCACCCTTCCACCACCACTGCTATTTTTCACCTCCTTCACTGCCACTACCACCACTGTAGCTGCCTTCCACCACCATCACGCCGCTGCTACCTCTACTACCTTCCATCGCCACTGACTTCCACCACCACAACCACATCTACATCCACCTCCATCACCACTTCCATTACCATCACCACTGACTTCCATCACTACCACTGCCGCCACCTCCACCTCCACCGACTTCCATCGCCACCGCTATCACCTTCACTTCCATCTCGACCTCCTCCATCACCACCATCGACTCCATCACCACCACCTACACCATTACTGCTTTCCACCTCCACCACCATTAACCACCGCCGCCATTTCTTTTTTAAAAAATTATAAAAAGAATGTTATTTTGTCAATTAAATTATTTGTCACTTATAGGGTATTTTGGATAATTTAATTTAAAATTTATTATTTTTAAAATTTTAGATTAATCCATTCTTACAGATATCATATTTGGAATCAAATAATAGAAGAGTAATGATATGCAACCCTAAAGAGAAAACGTAAAAACTTTTCAGTTTTTAGCCTAATATGATTTGGCCAAGTCAGAATTAAAAAAGAAAGAATCCTGACTTATGTATAAATAAAATAGTGCTTTCTCCTTCTGCTGACAAAAAGGAAACTAAAATTGCACAAATAAGAAACTAAAATTGGAGGGAAAGAGTAAAAGAAAATAATTACAAACCGTAAATCATAGAACCATACAAATACAGTATTATTTATATTTTGTATAAACTAAATATTTATTGTTTTAAAATTTTTTGAGGGAAACTAAATATGTATTTCTCTTTTGAGAAAAAGTAGGAATTTGGAAAGTTTTTAGCTTCCCTCAAGAGAAAATTCTTTTTTTTTTTTTTTATTTCCTTTCTTTTTTGTTCTCTTTTTATTTATACCATGGGACTTTTCTTTTTTAATTCTCACGCGGCTTATCGCAATTAGATTCCGGGAGATTTTGCTTTCGAAATTTTTTTTTTACAGTTTACCCCTAAAAGGTACTCCTATTGCTTCAAAGCTCTCAAGCAAAGCGCAAGCGAAACACATTCCGTACTGATTCTTGGAAGAAGAAGATGAAGATTAAGTTGGGGCAAAAACCGTACCGGAAAGATGACTTGGAATCGGGAAGTCGGCCACTGTACCCGTCGATGGTGGAGAGTCCGGAGCACCGATGGTCGTTCATTCGCAAGGTTTACTCAATCCTGACCTTCCAACTGCTTCTCACAATCGCCGTCGGCGCCGTCGTCGTCAACGTCCGTGAAATCCCTAACTTCTTCCTCTCCAAAGGGGTCGGTTTGGCCCTCTACATTGTACTGATCATCGCTCCCTTCATAGGTATCATATTGCATGGAATTTTGATCTTGAAACAATTAATGTTTTATATGTATATATATATTTATTTATTTCTTGTTTGATTTATTTGTTCTTGTTTGAATTTTTGCAGTGTTGGTCCCGTTGTATTACTATCACCAGCGACATCCGGTGAACTATCTTCTTCTTGGACTGTTCACTGTTATTATTGCTTTTGTGGTCGGATTGACATGTTCTCTTAAACACGGTAAGCAGTCTAAATCTTTGTTTCTTCTTGAATTCATGTTTGAATGAATTTTCAAACCCTAATTTTTCGTATCTAGATTCACATTGATTGAGGCGTTTTTGGTAAAACTCTAAAGATTATAGAGATTTGAGAATTGATATCAATAAAGTATGAAATAGAATAATATTAAAGAACTTGTAGATTTTTTATAGAGAATTTATGCAGCTTCGGTTGATCACATGTGTGAGCTCAAGGGGCGGGAAATCTATTCTCAGCGAAAACTCCATGGCAATGTTGGAAATAACTTGAGAACTGAGGCTATTTTATAGAGAAAGTGCCAGAGCAAATTTAAACTATGATATTTCAAGGGTACTTTATTTTCTCTATATATATAAAAATAAAAATAATAAAAAAAAAAGAAAAAAAAAAGGAGAGAAGGAGTGTTATGCAGTCTGTGATTTTATGAACTGTCAGGGAGAACCCAAAGAAGGCTAGGGGTGCAAAGAATGCTAAACAGAATCCTTAATTTTTTGCAGGCAACTTTCCATGAGAAAACTATTTGTATGCAAGAGGCTATTGTAAATATTAGTTTAAGAAATCTCCTAAATTGTAATATTTTCTTTCTTAAAAAATAAATTATTGCAATTTTTTTTGGGATTCATAGAATACTATTTGTATATAAGAGGCTATCGTAAGGATAATAGCCTCACTGATTCTCATTGGATGGAGATTTTTTTGTGATGCTCTTCGGATTCCCCACTGAGGATACAAGCTCATTAGAATCCTTATGTAGCTTTTTTCTTGTTTGTTTCTAAAATTTTAAATAGCTTTATTTAGAAAATTGAACGCAGGAGACAAAAATCAGTTTTTGGGGTGTTGGAAGTTTTTCTTTATTTTGTAGTCAACCTTGAAATGATAGACTTGTTAGTGTGAAGCATATAATTAAGGCTTTGGTCTTGCATTTGTGTTTTGCGTCATGCTAAGACTAAACATTGCCAATTGCCAAGCTAATTGATATGTGTATGTTTGATGAGAATATTTTAAATCCATTGTATGTCTTTCTCACTATAATTAGTAAATTGTTTTTATCCATGGGCTTCGTCTGTAATGTAATTTAGATTTTAGACATGAACGAAATTGTGCGTATGTAAGGCATCCAGTAGAGTTGTAAATGTTGGTTTCCCGAGCTCCATGGATTATCATAATTTGAATGGTTTGCAGGGAAGGTAGTTTTGGAAGCTATGATCTTAACAGCAGTGGTGGTTGTGAGTCTTACTCTGTACACATTTTGGGCTGCAAGAAGAGGCCACGATTTTAACTGCCTTGGGCCTATCTTGTTTGGTGCTCTTCTGGTGCTTACTGTCTTTCTCCTGATTCAGGCATGTGCACTTTCTCTACTTGTGTTTCTGCATTTTTGAGGAACATACAAAAAAAAAAAAAAAAAAAAACAGTAGTAATGACTTGTTTCCTCTTGCAGCTGGTGTTTCCTATGGGTAAGTGGCAAGTGATGATAATTGCAGGTGCAGCGTCAATCATCTTCTCCGGGTTCATCATATATGACACGGACAACCTCATCAAACGCTGTTCTTATGATGAATATATCTGGGCTGCTGTATCGCTTTATCTAGACATCATGAATCTCTTCCTCTGGATTGTGGCTATCATAACAGATTGTGATAGTTAGGGAGATCTTACTGCTGGTTTTTCCACTTTGTTTGGATTTAAATGGAAGTCTTGTGTTTTTGTTAGCTGATAGATCATACTAGCTTGTAAGTAATCCAGGTAAGATGGGGAATATAGATCACAAGAGTTTGGCTTTTCATCATATGCTCTGTCCCATCATATTCATCTTCATATTGAAGGAGGATAGTTACGTAGAAAAACCTTGAATTTTCAATGATCCATTTTGAATTGAAATGCGAAAGAAAAGCCCCTATATTCCCTATCTCTTATTCTCTATTCTCTGTAAATTTCCTAATTCTGGGATCTCTTGAATTCTAAGAATTTAAATAAATAAATAAATAATTAAAAAAAAAAAAAATCATAGCAAATAGAAATGGTAGTGGGAGCATTTGTCCTATATGTACAAATCTTTACCCGGAGTAGATCATAACACATCAATGAGAAGTTATCGTTTGTTCTCTTAATTGAATTGCAATTAAACTCGGCCTAATCTTTTACTAAAAGGATCTCGAATACAAAGATCCTATTGCATATATTTTGGATGGATACATACTTGTAGATTTGAAATGAAAAATCTATGAGCCAAAGAAATTTCAGTTATGTTACGTTATAGAGCTAATTCTTGAGTTTTTCCCTCATGCGGAGAAAGCATTCATTCTTGTTCTTTCATTTTCATTTCTCAAAATACTTCAATTGGTACACTCAAGAAATAAGCCAATTTTGCAGCCTTTTGTATTCCGCATATAGTTACAACTTTCATCGTAATGTGCCCTCCAAAGAGCAACTCTTCTCAAAATCTCACTCAAAAGTAATTGAGTTGGAATCCCATTCTAACTAAGGATTCTTGTGGTTCCGGAGGATCCAACTACAAGAGAACAAGGAACGAATAAATCTTTGGGGTTGCTTTTTTTAATAAAGGAAAGACGAGCACTTGATGGGAAAATTAAGAATCCCAACAAGGGGAATGATAAAATATACTAAAAAGAAAGGAAAGCATATATCTTATCCTTATTAGTTTTTTGTCAAACACAAAATATTATTTTAGTTTTATTAATTTCACATCAATTTTGTTAATATAACATATATATCTATATATATATTAAAACTCACCATCATAAAAAGTTGAATTTCTAAACAGGCCAAGAATTTTAAGACAAAAGGAGTATATGTCTTTATTTAATTACTATTTTGAAACTCTCTATACAAGGTGTATATATCTATGTTTGTGTTGAAAATACAAATAAACTTTTTAGCAATGTATATATGGATCCTAAAGTTTTCAATTTAGGCATATACTCCGTATATTTTTTATTTTGTGAATGGTAAAGCGAACACAGCGCGTCCTCTTTGAAACATTGACTCGTCTGGAGAATGGGCCTGAGAAAGAACAAAGTTAGGTTTGGTCCACGCTCAGAAATGCAGACAATTTTCTTCAATCACGAGCCCAAAACATCCTTTGAATAAAACGACCATGCCCTAAAAACTTAGGAGGAGCCGGTTTGGTCCGATTCGGCTTTAGGCCTAGAACAAATTTCCAATTTAAGAAAAATATAAATGGCAAAAAAACAAAGACATGTATATGTTAGCTTATATATATTTTTTATCCTGACAAACTAAGAGAGAGGGAAAGAGGGACTCGAACACGAGTACACTTGTTCAGAGAGTTGAACATTCAAAAATATATGTCAAGCATTTTAGAGTCATTTTGAAATTTTATAAATTCTAGAGACATAAAAAAATAAAAAATTATTAGGATGGTATCGTTGAACTAGAGGAAGCTGAATGCAGGCAAGTGACTTATTAGGATGGTATGGTTGAACAAATTACCGTAAGTCCCCCCACTTTCTCTGGTGTTGCTTAATTTTGCTATGTAATTGAGGTAATGTAATTAATCATTGTAAGTGAGATATATGACAAATTTCATGACCAGAGTGGCATTAGTCAACCAATTTATTGCATTGGACATGTGAAAAAAACGAGTCATGTAATATATATTGATATAATATTCTCTTACAAAAACCTATATATATATATATATATATATATATATATATATATATGGTGCATATATAGGCCGGTTGGTGTGGTGGATGGGTCAATGCAAGTGTCAACACAATGTGGATATTAATTCTCACTCACAAAAACGTGTACGTGGCACAATGTCAATGCTATTATCAAACATGTGGTCGATCTCCATGTCAATCTGCAAGCTCATGACCACCAGAGAATATAGGGTGTGTGTGTGTGTGTGTGTGTAGACGTGTCTGTGTTTGGTAGAATCCAAGGTCCAACTTGGATGACTTTTTGGAATTGTAAATGATTGGTAAATAAGAATTAGTGGTTTGAGCCAGAAATTTATAAGTTGATGGATGGAATATGTGGTTAGATTAGTTTGTTCTTTTTGAGCACCATAGGTTATAAGATTCATTATGCAAATGAAGAAACACGAAATTGTTAAATCACTGTCATTAGAAGGATGGGATGAGGTACCGTCCAAATTAAAGACAAATTACTAAAAAAATGGAGTTATTGGCTTCAACTTGCAGTCGGATGGAGTCAAAATCTTGAAATTCCAAAAAAATGGATTTTCCTATCAAATGCTGATGTGAACTTTAAAAAAACTGTTTATTTTTATTTTTGAAAATTATAAATTAAACACATGGACAAACTGTCCATTTTACCATTTGGACATGAGAATAAATTGAACAGTATATTTTTTTAATCTTGTCCACGTTATCATTTTAGTACAGTATAATTTATTTATTTGGAAATTCAAGACTGACTTCGTCTGAACACAAAAGTCCACCTTTTTTTTTTTTTTTTTTTTGTAATTTTCCCAAAGAGAATTGAGAAGCAAATATATATGGATTGTTGGAGGGGTTGAAGTAAAAGCTAAGGTGTTCATACAATACATGTGCGGTCAGTTTGGGCTGTAATTATATATATATATATATATATATATCGTTATTGGTGTCACCATATGGCAGTTGACAGTGCGTGGATTCCTACTCTGTGACTTGCAAAATTAAATTTTGGAGAATCACTTCTTTCTTTACCTGTGTTCTTTATCATGAAGGCGAGTTGCAGAAGAAAGAGAAGTTCCTATATATATATATATATATATATATATATATATATATATATTTATGTTTGGCATTTCGATTGCTTAAAGAGAATGTTGAGTTATAGTAGTATATGTATATGATTGGCTCCTTTGGCAGGCTATTTAATTATATATAACCTTTAGTTAAACTAGTTAGATTATGAGCAAACTCGTCTTCACAAGAGAAATAAAAGAAAATGAAAGTAGTTATATATCGATATCCATACAAATTAATGAGAATGATGGAAAAAGATCGAGTAGGCATTGCCACTTGCTAAAGCATCTGATGAGCATCATTTGGAATTGGACAGACACAGAGTAGGTTGGGACCAGCGAGCATGCATATGCATGACCCAACCCACTAATTAATTACATATGCTTTGAGGTAGGGTCCTATTCCTATTACTTTAGTCGGCATGGCTGGTATGGGTACACAATTAGTGTGTGTGGTTAGTTCATGCCCTTCTTCTTCACAAGGTCCTGATCATATCCACTATAATATCTCTGCTGACCCACCTATTTTCTGGTGCTATTAATTTGGCTTAATGTGTCCACAAACTTATATATATATATATATATATATATGCCTTGTTATTTAAATGACCTCATAGAATTTGTGGTTTCAGACGATCCATGGTGGGTCAGAAATCGAAATATATGTGACACACAATTAAATGGTAGCTACAGGATTAATTAGAAATAGGCATAGTTCCAATTAAACATTCCATTAGGAGGAGGGGACATGCAAGTGATGGGCATGTTGGGATTTATATGCCCTGGCATAGCAAATTCCTATCTGGATTATAGTGACATATGTTCCTGACATATCTGAAATATTTATGATTTATATAATTGGTGAATTCAATGTATTATGTTTCGATTCACTATGAAATTGATAGTGTCCATATAATTACAAGAAATATTTATATATATGTATGTGATGGCAATCAATGCATGATATATAAATAGTAATTATAAATTGTTCATAGTCGGTAATTATGGATGGACTCATAATTAATTAAGACTTGAACTGGATCCGCGTTAGGTTGAGATATATTGCGAGAGCCGTCGTATGTAATTATTCCCTATCACCGTCATGGCATTTGACTCTTAAGTATGAGAAAAATATAAACTCTTTTATTAATTAATAATTACTTTGATTTGTTCGGCGGATTTTTCGGGATCCTTAGACCGACACTTTGGGTAGTTATGTAATTAATAGTTAGAGGGTTATATTTTCAATATTTGCATCATTACTACTTGTATTTATTTTGTATTGATTATGGTTGATCACAAAGTAAATTCGAAGGCCTTCGTGTGTTTTTAGACAAAATGATTTATTATATATTTATTTATTTAAATTATTATTTTTGTCAAACAAATGTTTTATTGTGATCAAGCCAGAAATAATCAAAGGTACCAAAATAAATATATTAATTAAGTAGTCGGATTGATGGCATTATTTATCCGATAACTAATTATGCATAGAGGGGTCAAAGTGCAATATTGACTTAGTGGTTATTTATTATTTAATTGGAGTTCAATTAATTTCTTTTAGTGGAGTAGAAATTAATTTATAAATTAATTGAATTGGGTCCATGGACCGGGCCAATTATTAATTCATTATAGCCAATAAAATAATAGGCCCAATGGATTCTCACTCATAACCCAATTTGATATTGGAATCATATTAGATTTGAGACATATGAATTAGAGATGGAGAAGGATTTGTTGTTTCCTTTTCTTTATTTTTATGTTGCCTATAAATATACATGGTCTATGTATATTTTAGGTGGTGATTTTTGATAGAAGGAAAAAGGAATATATATTTTCTCTCTCTAGAAAATTAGGGTTTATGTTCTCATCTAATGGAGGCTCCCACAAACCTAGTTTTCCAA